AGAGAGAGAGAGAGAGAGAGAGATTAAGCAAAATTATCAGTGAATACATCACATGCTTCTGTAATAGAGGTGTGAATCAAATTGTCGATTACTTTTGACTCTTCAGTTTTGAGCCCAATGTTATGTCCAGAGATGAGACATACGTTACGTTATAAATACTATTTATATTTTCAATTTATAATAATTGTTCAAAAGGTTATTGAATTGAAATAACAATAAAAAGAAAAAGAAATTCTTATAAAACTTATCACAAAAATATATAATAATAGCTAAAAATGGTTAACAATTGGCACATATAATGAAAATGTCTTCGAGTGGTTCACTAATTGATAGTTGTTTGAAATATTATATATTAATTACTTCGAAGATATTTTGTAATATGATTGACGTAATGGTAAAATGACATTGAAATTTAAACCAATCTAGCTAATTGTTCTAAATGTACTTAGGAAAGTACTTACAAATGTACTTGGTGTAATTATTTTAAATTAGCTGAAAATTACTTAAACTCTTTAGAACTAAATTTATTTATAATATAAAGTTGATATGTTTTAAATGTATTGATATTAAAATGACAAATATTTTTGCTAATTTAGTAATTGATTAGCAAATAATACTTGAAAAATATATTTTTAAAATAATGGAAAAAATTGTCAACACTTTTAACTAACCTTTTAATTATAGAATTAGAGATAAACCCAATAAATAGAGATTAGGGATGATTCACAAACTACGTTCGCACTTGGGGGAGGGGATGTCGGCCAAAGCGAACTTTTGAGAACGAGGGGAGGGGGCAAAGAGACGTGTAGGGGCTTAAGAACGTTTGCATTTAAATAATTAGCAAACAAGTGGCAAGCAAAGTTAATCTTTTGATAGCAAGTGTTTGATAATAGTGAATGAATATATGATTTTTAAATAGAAATAGTTTTATTTCCAGTTTTGAAATATTGTAAGTGAAAATAAAATATTTATTAATTGAAATCATTATTTTATTGTTTAAATTAATTGATGTCAAACCTAAAGCCATTGTATGAGGCCTTCATTGAGGTATATTCAGCGACTGACCAAAAGGGGGTCAGTAATGCAACTATTAGATCGGGAACTATTTCTTAGGGGTGGGGGTCTAAATTTCTTAAACAAGTGCGAACGTGTAGTATGTGAATCACCCTTTAGTATAAAATAACGTAAATATATTTTTAATCACTAAATATCTTAATTTGAATCCAAAGTACCATTTATTGCATTCAAGTGACAAAAACATTGCATTTACTAATAATTATTAAGTCTCTCGTCGAAAGTTTAAACAAACTTTAAATTAAACATAATTTTAAAAACTTTTTATTTACTTTTATGAACCAAAAAATCAATTTCAAGCGTAAAATATAAGTTCAAGTACAAAGGCTGAAATGCATGTTATTGTAAATAAAATATAATCTATTTAAAAGAGATAAATGACAGTATTTTCCATTACTTTTAATTCAAATATAACATAAAATTATAATTTTTTTAATTAACTGCAAAGTTATGAATCGGTAATGACTTACAAAATTGTCGTCAAATCCAAATAAACAAACAATTAAATTGCATTTAATAACAACAAAATTAATTTAAATCACAATCAAATAAAAGTATTTAACAATATTCAGCGACCGGTGGACCCAAACATTGGTAATTGTGAACGGAGTGCAAAACGACCACAATTTGTCAAACTATTAATTTATCGGTCGTTTGCCTTATAGTCAACTCACTTTCTAACCACTGTTTTATAGCGAGAGTATGTCTACAATTGCCGTACAATTCATTAAAACACACACTTTATTGACAGTTAATTTGCAAATGATTTATTAAAATAAGTAAAAAACTATTGAATTAAACGTTTAGTTGCAATACTTGTTCAATCATATGATACGTGCATTCAATTGACGATTGCATAGCAATGCAAACAATGGATTCTATAATATATTCTTAGCGTACAATCACTGGAAAGCCATTGAAAAAGT